TCACAGTGATTTGTGACTTCATCAGTTACATCTTGTACCGTTTCAAACTTTTTCCTGTATTCTTGGAAAAACAAATTGACACTATTATCTTCTTCTTCATCTTCAAACATAGGAGGGTCTTCAAAGGTATCAGGAAGTGTATCATCCATCATATTCCCACCTTCGCAGTCCGACTCACTCACATGATCATCCCTATTGGTCTGCTCAAGTTGGGCTTTTGTGTCGCTAGGATGGGATCTCCCGGACTCCTCAGATAAAGCCTTTGCAATCTGCCCCAATTGATTCTCCATGTTCTGCATACTTGCATCGGACACTTGCATAAATTTCTTTAGTGTGTCTTCCAGGTCAGACAGCTTCTCTGAAATTATCTCTTCCAATTCGTCGTCTGAATCTTGTGGCTCATAGCTCGGCAAAGACGTAGGAGTGACTGAAACATTTGTGTTCGTAAATTGTGGGGAGGAAGAAGTGGGGTATGCAGTTTCCCGGAAAGGATGATCATATAGAGGTTTGATGGGGCAAAGACATAAATGGTGATCTCCTCCACAAAAGGAACAAATGCTATCCTTAAAACATTCAGATTTAGGCGTTTTATTTAGAAGCATAAATTCAAGAATGGAGCCTCGTCTTACGCTTACCCAAGGGTAATGTGATGAAGGATAGTAAGAATCAGAATGAAAGGGTTGTGTGGTTGGAGTGTACGAATAAGAAGGCTGAATATTTTGTGGTGTAGGAGAGTAATTTTGAAGAGGTGTGTAATATTGAGGAGGAGGAGTGTAAGGAGGGTATGGCGTATATGGTGAATATTCCATGGAGGTTTGAGGGTAAGGAATTCCTCCAGGAATTTGGCTGAATAGGTTCATCTCATGCCTCTTAGAAAAATACCTGAAAGGTTAGCACAGAAAAATCCTACGAAGAACTAAAAAAAACTAACTAAAAAAAAATCTCGCTGAAATTAATTAACCCTTAAAACCGACACCGTCCCCGGCAACGGCGCCAAAAACTGATGAGTGTTTTCTCGCACTTAAAAAGATTGTAATATAGTGGTGTAAGTACGAGTATCGTCTCCACAGGGACGGACAAAAGGGAATCAAGAATTAATTAAATTCAGCGATTAAAAAGAAAACAAAATAAAAGCGTCGTGCGAGATTGGTTGGTTTGGAAAATAAAACTAATGCGAACAATTAAACTAGGGGGTTCTTTTTAATTAATGACGAAGGGAACAGGGATCGATTCCGGGGTTAACCAAATTTCTGGCAGAACAGGCCTAATTACATGAATTTAATTTAATTAAGCCTGGCTAATCATTACTAAGTTCTTACCGCTCTCACGGCGAAGAGTACAATAATTTAGGAGTCCAGGCTGATCTCTCATGCGACAAGATCCTAAATTATTGCCAAAACGAGCGAGCTTACGGCCCCTTAATCGCTACTAATCTCTTAGCGAACGATTAAGTGTGTGTGAATGTGTCCTAGAACAAATTAGATCTCTCTTAATTCATTTTACATGCAATTGTAATTCTAGCTGCAGTCTAGGTTACAAGAGATATCAATTAAATTATTCAAACACAATTTAAACGGCATTCATGCAATTAAACCGAAAAGAATCTAACCATACATCATGATTAACCCCTTCATCAACCCCAAATCCCTAATTAAAACTACTCACAATTCATAATTGAAGAATCAATAGAATTGGAATAAAAAGAATTAATTGTCATTAATTAAAAAGGTGGAACTTACAAAGAATCCCAAAAGATTGATGAACAAGGCTGAAAAGCCCTCTAAAATTCGTGCTAGGCACTCTCTCTAAGCTCCCCCTTGAAAACGGGGGTTTACAGGCTGTTTAAATAGAAAAATCGGGTGAAATTTGAGCTGAATTAGGATTTTCGGAGCCAGGCACGATGTCAGGCCCGATCGTGCCTCCGGAGCAAAAACGCGCATTTTGGGCAGGCACGATCGTGCCTCCCTCCAGGCACGATCGTGCCTGGCTGGCAGTAACTCCTCCGTGTTTTCTCTTCACGCACGATCGTGTCTGACTTTGAGGGCACGATCGTGCCTACTTAACTTCCGAATTTGACAAAACTTCCTTCATGAAAGTTGTAGATAATGAAGTCCTCTATCCACCCCAATTTGCCGATTGTGATTTGAATCATCCAATAAAGAGATATGATCAAAACGGTGGAAGGTGTCTTTCTGAAATCGCAGCAGAGATCATCTGACTTCATCGTCTGTTTTCACCTTCTTCCTCTCATATTCTCGCAAAGGTGTCTTCATATGATTTGTAGCCCTTGCAGTTGGATTTCTTATGGAACTTGAATCGTGTACATTGGATGTTTCTACAAAGAGATATGCTTGAACGATTGACAGAAGGTCATCCTGATCGTCGTTTTCAAGCTTCATTCATCTTCTTTTGATCCCGAAGCCAGTCCTAGAGCTCTTTTTCCTTCAAATCTTCATCGTGAATCTTCCGGTGACCTCCAAATCTATCAAATCATTCTCAAATGCTTCTCAAATCATCCCGATTGTTCCTCAAGTGCCGGTGCCGGGCTCAAATTCCCTGATTTTGACTACAAACAACACAAAACTCGAACCAACGCCCGGTAAACATAACTTGAGCTAAAATTGAGACTTGTAACACCTTAAAACTAGGAAAATCATCAAAAGCCGATCTCAACACGCATCAAATACGTGTCAAAATACGGACTTATCAGGAAATCAAACAGGCTTTGTTTGATATTGGAAACGATAAAGCCCCTGGACCGGATGGCTACTCATCAGATTTCTTCAAAGCAAATTGGAGTAAAGTTGGTGCAGATTTATGTGATGCTGTGCAAGAGTTTTTTATGTCTGGAACTATGCTTAAACAAGTTACCATACAGTTGTATCTTTAATTCCTAAGACTAATCACTCTCCCACTGTTGCAGATTTTAGGCCAATTTCTTGTACTAATGTTACATATAAGGTCATTACAAAGATTTTAGCATCTCGTTTAGGTCCCTTCCTTCCTACTATTGACCATCCTTCACGGGGAGCTTTTGTTAACGGGAGATTGATGTCTGACAACATCTTCATTGCACAAGAGTTAGTGAAAGGATATACTAGGAAGAGAGCTTCACCTAGATGTATGATAAAGATGGATCTTAGAAAAGCCTATGATGATACCATATCTTGGGTGTTTTTGGAAAAAGTACTTAGGGACATAGCGAATTCCAACATTATTTGTCCATTGGGTTACGGAGTGTGTCACAACCTCATCTTTCTCAATATCCATAAATGGTGTACTCCATGGATGGTTTGAGGGAAAGAGGGGGTTAAGACAAGGGGATCCTATGTCGCCCATGCTTTTTGTGTTATGTTTGGAGTACTTCTCTCGGATGTTAGATCTTAGGACCACAAATCCTACCTTTAACTATCATCCCTTATGCTCCCAACTAAAGATTGCACATATCGCATATGCGGATGATCTAGTTTTGTTCTCAAAAGGGGATTGTAAATCCATAAAGGTCTTGGTTGAGGCTTTAAAGGACTTTGGCATGGTATCCGGACTTATGGTTAACTATGACAAATCCAACATTTTCTTGGGTGGAAATGTGGTAAATGCACTACCTAGAATTCTTGATTTGGTTGACTTTCAACAAGGATCGTTTCCAGTTAGGTACTTGGGTATCCCACTTGCACCATTAAAGATCTCAATGGCCCAATTCTTTCCTTTGATTGATTAGGTCACTGACTATATTAATGCGTGGAATACTAAGACTTTGTCTTATGTTGGTAAACTTGAGTTGATAAGAGCTGTCATGCTGTGTAACACTTGAGATTTAATATAAACGGATTAATAATACTACTCATACCAACATAGGTGCATCTCCTTTCAAGGGAGCTCATCACCCAAGAACTCCAAAGTTAAGCGTGCTTGCACGGGAGTAGTCTTCGGATGGGTGACCCCCTGGGAAGTTTCTCAGGGCGCGCATGAGTGAGGACAAAGTGCGGGGTAAAGGCTCGTGGTGGTTTGTGGGGACAGTACTATTGGTTCGGAGTAACTACCTCGGGTCCGGCGGGGCCGGGGTGTTACAAATGGTATCAGAGCAACCCTGCGATAGTGTGCTGATCCGTTGGATATCGGGCAGACACCTAGCAGGGGAAAAGATTATGGGGTTTGATTGAGATTGGTTTAAGGGCACAACGAGGACGTTGCGATCCTAAGTGGGGTGAATGTAACACTTGAGATTTAATTTAAACGGATTAATAATACTACTCATACCAACAAGATGCATCTCCTTTAAGGGAGCTCATCCGCTAAGAACTCCAAAGTTAAGCGTGCTTGCCCGGGAGTAGTCTTGGGATGGGTGAGCCCCTGGGAAGTTTCTCAGGGCGCGCACGAGTGAGGACAAAGTGCGCGGAAAAGGCTAGTGGCGGTTTGTGCCGCATTTTCCTTTGGGGAGGGAAATTTTCAAAGGTTGCTTGGGAAGATGTGTGGCCTACCCAAGGAGGAAGGGGGTCTTGGCATTAAAAATGCTAGGGTATGGAATGATGCACTACTCTCTAGGACTTTATGGAATATACATAAAAAACAAGACACACTTTGGGTAAAATGAGTTCATGGAGTCTACCTTCATGGGAGGGATGTGTGGACTTTTGTTCTACACAATAGGGACTCCCAATTGATGAAGAGGTTAGCCATGGTCCGTGACTCTATTGTCTCTAAGTTCCCATCTTTGAACTTGGCTTTAGAGTTTTTGGGGAAAAATTCCCTTAATGGGAAACTATCCGCGGCCAAAGTGTATGATATTCTTAGAATTAGGGCCATGCCGAAAGTATGGATGTCCTTTATTTGGAAATCTTACATTCTCCCCAAATTCTCATTTATCATGTGGCTAGTCTTGAGAAATAGACTACCTACTTATGATAATTTGGGGTTTCTTGATGTGATTAACCTATGTCCTTTTTGCAAGGGTGATCCGGAAACGGTCTCACACCTATTCTTTGGTTGTACATTTACAGGGCAGGTATGGAACAGGGTAAGACATTGGCTTGGGCTCACTAGAGAAATGACTACACTAAAGAGTGCCATAAAGTGGATTAAGGAGCACAATAGAGCAAACATCAAGGCTAAAGCTGTTAGGATCTCCTTTTGTTACACGGTCTATTGGGTGTGGAGGAAAATGAATACAATCTGTTTTGATGGGGTTGCCCCTATGGTGGAAGTTTTTTGCATATAAAGTATATGGTGTATAAGTTGCTCTATAACATGTATCCGGTGCATATGATCAACTTTTGATACATTTGGGGACTGTTTTCACCCATTTTTTGTCACGGCTAGATAACTGATTTTTGGGATGGATAGGTGGCTTTGTTGGCTACCTATCAAGATTAGATGGTTAGGGCATCCTTATTTTGGATTGCTTGCAATTTTGCATTGATGCACATAAACATTTTTGGATATATATATATTTACAGTTCATCCAAAAAAATATAATACTATGTATAATATATTGTTGTAAATGTTGAGCCTAACGCTCTATTAAAGTAAATTAAAGGCTTGGTAATTGATCAGAGGTTTCTTACAAATTTGATTAGATGAAAGTTTATAAATACCTGAATTTCATTATCATTAATACAAACTCACCCGTCCTCAAAAGATATTAGTTTTTTGATGGATGGTGGATTGTTTCTTCCTTAAGTTAAGTGATACCTTCCTAATATATTGAGAATCACCCCAATATAATCAAAAAATTAGTGATACATTCCTATAGAAAAATAAGCCAAGCATGAAGTAAGATCCATTACCCTTAAACACAACGAGTAATAACTGAAGTTTTTTTTTATTATCAAACGGGCCTCTATTCATATCAAAAGATTCAGGATCATTGCATCAAGCAAAAATAAAATTTTCTTGATCTATAATCTCTAATAACGTCGCCGAATGCAAAATTTTCTCTAATTATATTTGTGAGACAAAATGTAGCTCTTCATTTTATACATTAATAAAATACTTCCCCCGTTCTTTTTTAAATGCAAAATTGATTTTTTTTTCAATATTCACATGTTCTACTTTTACTCTATTTTATTTATTAATGTATTATAAATTAAATTTTAAAAAAGTATTGTTAAATTCCTCTCATTTTAAAGTTTCAATTTTTTTTTTAATTTTTTTACTAATAAAGTATGAAAGATATTAATAGTTAAACTTGTGTGTTGGCAAACGTGAAAAGTGGATCGTTGCATTTAAAAAAGAACGGATGAAGTAATAAAAAGCGCAACAACAAGTTTTTCATTTATTTAAAATTAAACGCATCTAATTAGATAGAAATACAATACAAAACAAAGAACGTTTTTCAAGAAAAAGAAAAGAAGGGTTTTCATGTGATAGAACATTAGAACATGTTAATATAGATCACAAAGGTATTTCTTACTTCCTCCTTTGTTTTTTATTTGCTACGATCAATTTTTCACGCTTGTCAACGCATAAGTTTGACCAATAATATCTTTCGTTCCATATTAGTAAAAAAATAAACAATTCAATTTTTGAAAATTTAAAAGGAGAGGAATTTAAGAATATTTAAAAAAAATTAATTTATAATCCATTAATAAATAAAATATAGTCAAAGTAGAATATGTGCAAAAAGTCCAATGTTTCAATTAAATTAAAAGAGAACAGAGGTAGTATTAATTACCATCTGACGAGCTTTAATTTGCCAAATTGCTACTCCCTCCGTCCCTGAATTATCTTCAAACTTTCTTTTTTCGTCCGTCCCAAAATTATCTATTCTTTCCCATTTTGGCAAAGAATTTGTGGTTCACAACCATTCTTACACGTTCTTACACATTTCTCTCTCCTCTGCACAACTCTCCACCACACAAATCTCACTATCTTAATTTGTGTGAAATGTCAAAGGAGGGGTTAATATAGGGACGGAGAGAGTATCATTTTGTACTCCTGTGCCATAATTTCTGGTGGAAATTACAACAGTGAACCATTTCGTTGTACATAAAATAAAGAACATATATATATCCAATAAAGGTGAATAAAAAACAAGTCATAGATGATAAAATAAAAAACAAAAACTGTTATCATGGACCAATTGTAGGATGACCTATAAATGAATGACTAAAAATGTCACTGTGGAACTAGTTATGTTGTTTCAATTATGTCTATTCCATAGCTAGAGGTATTGTTTAGGTCATTCTTGCTGGTTGATTTTCATATTGATAGTAATTTACACATACATACACAAATAAAAGATGTATTTTTCAATTGTAGCATAAATAGATATTACTCACATTTTGATTTAATTTTTTTTTAAATTTGTTGATCTTCATATTTATTGATTTTGCTAATTTTAATAATTTATGTTATTAGTAGCATAAATTTATGAATTTTTTTTTAAATATTACTAAAATAAAACTTACTACACAAATATGATTAGTAGTTAACTTACTACGGAGTACAATATAGTGTTCCGGTAACTTAAGTTTAAACATTGAGCGAAATTACTATGATTCTGTTACTACTTTAGTAAGTAGTCATATTTTCGTAAAGAATCTTTATTTTAGTCATAAATATGTAATTATTTTTTAAATTTATTGATTTTGATAATTATACGAATCCAACTTTACTATCTTTATACACAATACATATAATGATAAACTATTGATGTTCTATTCAATTCAAAAAAATTATCACTTCAGAACTTAAAAGATAGATGAATTGTCAATCGAGAACCTGAAAGATGAAATGTATCAGTATGTGACTTGAATGATTGGAGATTATCAATCTAATACCTAAATTGTGATAATTGTTTTTTCGGAAATTTTAAATACGGAGTAATATTTGATTTTATTAAACCAATAAACTTTTGTGAAGAGGAATTCATAAAAAATTAGCTACGGAATTAATAACAAATTAAATAAATCAAAACCTATGGAATTTTAAGTCTTTGATCGATAGTTTTTTAACCATTCGGGGTTTATACCAACATATTTCATGTTTTAGATCCCGGATTGGTAGTTTATCTATCTCTAAGATCCTAAATTAATAAAATTCCATAAGTTAAAACAAACATAGATATATATGAAATGACACTGATCTTCAACAATAAATAATAAAAAAACATGGATATATAATGTCGTTCATCCTTGAATTAATGTTGTGTTTCTAGTCATTTTATAATTTAAAAAAAATATTGCTTGAACTTTCGGTATGCTGGTATATCGGTATACCATTTATTTTCAAAATATATATTGATATCATACCGAAGTAATTTGGTACGGTACCATACTATACCAAAAGTATCGGTATACCAAACATTTCAGAAAGTTCAATATTTTTCGATATGGCGATTGCGGTATACCGAAATTTAGCTAGGTTAGAGACTTTATGTATGATAACTTTTTGAGTATCAAGTTTATGCCCATATTACCTTCGTTTTTATTACCTATTAGCGTGTAATTTCTTTTGGGGAGATTTGTATGTTTAGTCTTGTAACTTTAATAACTTGTAAATTTGGTCCTGTAACTAATAATCTTTGAAATTTAAGAACTTTTCTACTAGAAAGTACACTTTTCGGCAGCAAATGTGACGTATGCCAACAACATCTTTTCTGATGGCTACCCGGTCCCAACATTTCCTAACCGGCGGCCCGGGCCCGACCTGAGTCCACCACTACTCTTAATTTGTTGATTTTCATATTTATAGAAGTACTAGTTTTTTATATGCGCGTTGCGCGATGGGGTAAATGCCGAATATTATGTATATGAAATATACTTTTGTGGGATTTACTATAAAATTCAAATTACACAGAAAGAACATAAATGAAAAAAAGTTTGAAGTAAGAAATGCAACACAAAAAATTTCCCAAAGTACAACAAGTCACATAGAATTTTTCCATCATTTTTAATGGAGCCAAAGATCCATTATTTTTTGGCTTGAGAATATGATGGAATAAAGTAAAATGGCTCACTAAACTGTTTGCGCTTCTTTGTTATGAAGCAACAATTAGTCCATGCAATTTTGGAGGCGATTTTCACTACGAGTCATCCGGAAACAGTCTCTTTGTGCTTTAGTACAGGGGTGAGACTGCGTACATCCAACCCCCTTATCCCACCGTAGATGGGAGCCTTTGCGGCACTCGGTAAATGAAAATGATGATGATGACAACAAGTCACATAGAATAAAGTCGTATTACATGCTCCGTATAAAATTTTACTCTAACTACACATTGGAAATGGCCTCAGATTCCCTCAAAACTGTTCTCCAAGTGTGCATAGGCTGGCAATCTCTTCCTAGTCCAGCAGAATGATGTGTCCTTGGTTCAAACAAAAACATCTATGTCCTTCCGTCCATAACTCCATATTATTGGTTCTTGGTTGAAAGTAATACTTCCTCTATATATCCCCCCAAAAAACCATGTTTGTAGTATTCGTATCAGTATAACAAACAAGACGGGTAAATATTCTTTTCATTACACCGTGAGAGTACACAAAGAGGGTAAATAATCTTTTCATTACAGGAGACCAAAAGTGACTCCTAATTTGAAGCTGACTTTTATCCTGCATCATTAAGAGGCTTGAAAGGATATGAGAATGATTATAATAGTATCTTTTACCTTTCATAAAATCACAAACATTACAGTTATATTTTAAAATTAAGATATTGTACCTGAAAAGAATAAAACAAAAACGACTTCACTCCAAGAAAACATAGAGATTAACTTAAACCTATATATCAAACTGTATTGAGCTTAAAACCAACCTGACACTGAAAAGAACCGGACATTACGTTATACTACGTATGTTTTAACTGTGATGAATTAGGGAGCGTGGAAATTAGCCGCATCTTAAAATAAGTTATCGACACCCTCGTCTACTTGTCAATCATTTGTTCCCTTGAATTGGGCTTTTAACTTTGCATTTTGGGAAATCACTTGTTATACTTGTTTTTTCTTTTTTTGGACAATTTGTTATACGTAGTACTATTTTTGTTTTACTGTTTGTTATACTATTTAATATGGCAGTTTTTATAAGTCAATAGAAAATCAAATATAAAGATAATAGATTCTAGAGAAAGTAGAGACGATTTAGTTTCAAAATTTATGTTTATGTTCATCTCATTGCTCTCAACTACATGTTCATCATGCATGAGTCAAGTTTACTTTTAAAAAAATCTGGTGTACATTTAATATGGTAATTAAAATAAAATGGAGACATTTGCTTTTGTGGTGCTAAAATAGAAAAAGAAGGCTAAAATCTCTGTCAGATGTTGATAGATAAACACACTTACCTACAATGGTGTGTTAAAACAGAAATAGGGAATAATAAGCACAAAAACATTGAAAACTGGAGCATACGATTGTATGACACTTGTAAATTCTTCTAAAATGAAAAGATTCTTTAATTCAACTACAAGACATTACCACAGATCAGATTTGTGCTATCATCAAATTAAACCATACTAAACTAAGAAATTGGTTATGCTTTTCTAAAATAAAATAGATACTATTATCAGTTTTGATAAACACACTTGTATGAGATCCTGTATATTTAAGACTTGATTACTTATACTATGTATTAATAAAAAACATATTAAACTTCTACAAGAGTACAAATGTGCAATCATTGATTTCTACATATATATGACTGCCGTTTTGCCATTCCTGCTCTTCGATGATTAAAAGTCTTAATACTTCATTATTTATTAATGAGGTTAAATAGATAATGATATAACCGACCCAAGAGCACGATTGTACAATCTTTTATTCTATGGAAATTGATCTGATTATGCTTTTCTACATGTCAAGCAAAACAGAAGCAAAAAAAAACACCAGAGTTAGATAAACATTAAAGCGGAGCAAAAAGTGATGTACTCAAACTCAAAAAATGACGCTGCAGAGAAGATGGAGAAAACCAAACTTCTTACCCAAACAGTTCTTGAGTTATTGGTTGGATCTCATATGCGAGGAAGGCCTCCATTCTAATGTAGGGTATGGATGGATGAATCTCCGAGGTAAAGGCAGAGGTCGATAAAAATTTTGGATGGTCTGAACTCTAAACTCGTCGCTGGGTGAGTAAACGCGACGGAGATAAAGAGATAGATCGAAATGTTAGATGGCGTGAACTTGAAGCTAGCGTGAGTAAACGACCGGTAGGGATCCTTCCGTCATAAATTAGATTGGCAGAGAAAGAGCAAGAGCAAATAAGTTATTGGTACAATCGTAAATAACTATGAGTTACACCAACACATTTATCATGTCTAAAATACTCTTACCTCTATTCATGCTTATAATATTTTAGATTTTAGATACACACAAATAAAAGATGGATTTTTCAATTGTAGCATAAATACGTATCACTCACATTTGGATTGAAATGAATAAATGTATCACTACTGATTTAAATTTGTTAATTTTCAGACTTACTGATTATTGTCATTTTTATTGATATTACTGACTTTTACTGCGTAATTTGTTGATTTTAATAAGATATGGTATTCGGAAGATATGAGCATAAATCTGTCGATTTTCATAAATATAAGAAGTCATTAAATGTTTCGTTTGTGAGAGTAAAACAATATACGGAGTATTTAGTTTCCAAATTTAGTATCCTTGTACCAATCAAACTCAATTCCAAGGAAATTAGGAATCAAGAACAACGCCGCCGCCTATGTATTTCCAAATATATACTCCGTATATGCATTTCAACTCATCATTTGATTCGATGCTTCAACTCCAAGCAGCTACTATACTAATCAGCCATCCCAATCCATAAACCCTAAATTAATTAACCCAATCCAAGATGCTTAATTAGACAAGGAAATTAAAACGGCTTCGCTATAATGACAGTCCCTGCTTCCTCTGCCGCTCCCCTGCTTCGCAAAGCTTCCGCCGCCGCCGCCGCCATGAAGAAGAAGAAGGTCGCTCCGACGTTCACCGAGGTGTTAGAAATGCTACGATGCCGCCGAGTTTGCGCCCGAAGATCGTGGCCGCCGAGAAACATTTCTCCGGTGAAGAAACCGTCGAAGCTGGCTGTTTCTTCCGCTCAATCTCCTTCAATGTCGTTTTCCGGTGAAGAATCCGACTCCGATTGCGAAAGTGCCTGCTCTTCCACAGGGTCTTGCAGCCATCCTCCTAATCCTCGTCCAGATGACGATGATGATACTGGAAACAGTGGAAAGAACGATGATGTCCAGAGATGGATGTTTGTGTCTAAATCGAGTACAAGTTTTATTCTTGTCCGAAATCCGAATTGATTTCTTGGGTGTAATTACAGTTCTTAATTCATACTCCCACCATTGAATTTTGTGCAGCTGAATTTAGATCAGTCGTTTGGGTTTAGTTTATGCCTGAATACGTTTGTACAGATTTCGGTTTATGTGACAATTCATTAATTCAAAAGTTTGTGTTCGATTATATTCTTGGTTGTTTTCATCAATACTGAAGATATTCTTTTAGTTATTTTGATCACAATTTAATTTAGGCAGATTTTAATCCTTCAACTGCATGTACGGAGTATCACTTCTTGTCTCAGCTTTTAAAATTTTATATGGTTCCATCAGGGGTGGGTAAACGGGTACAGGAATAATGGGCCGGACCGGGTAATATGGGTTCAGGGCGGGATACGATGGGGTCCTAATTTTGGAAAACCAAACGGAGCGGCAAGGGGTGGGTCCTAAAAATGTTAGGAACTGCACGAGTGTTAGAATTTGAGAACATGATTACCTGGATAGACCAGTTTCAAAATATTTTTTAAACAAAGTGTGACTATTCATCTAATTTAAAATTTTACTTACATTTTGAGATTTATTAATTAAGCTTTAAAGTGCTTCCTAAGCATATATGTATAGTGACTAGTCTAGTTTCTTACAACATTGTGGTGTTGTCTTTTTTGTTTATGGATGATGTTGTCTCATTTTCTACATTTCAAAGTTTGATGTTATTTCAATTTTGTTATTTTAGTGCTATTTAATTTATGGGATATTACCCGAAATAGGACTAAAAAGGTTTCAAAATTCCAAAATAGGACTGACATGTTTTTATTCCCAAAATAGGACTAATTACTGCCATGTTTTGGCAGTACCAGACTTCAAACATGGCAGTATTTTCCAAACTTGGCAGTAATTACTCCTATTTTGGGAATAAAAAACATGGCAGTCCTATTTTGGAATTTTCAAACTGTTTTAGTCCTATTTCGGGAACTTTCCCTTAATTTATACATTTGTGGTTAGATATTCTTTCAACTAATTCAAATACTTTGTTTCATATTTTTATTTCGAATTTTTACTATATTGGTGACATTGATAATTAATTAGGTTGAATATTTAATTACCTACTACGGAGTAGTTATTTTGTAAGCGTACCGATAGTTTTTTTTACAAAAAATAATAATCGAGAAACCGGACCAAACCGATTCGTTTCAAACGGGACGTGGGTAAGGCTTCTATTTCGAGACATGGTCTACCTGAATTAAATCTACCCGTTAAATGGAATTAACGGTTTTTGAAACTTTATGAATAACCTTGGACTATGTGCACCCCTAATTCAATCTTCACCCTTTAAAACATACTCTCTCTTCACTAAACTTGGTCATATTTACTTTTCTTTATTAATGATGATTGATGACAAGTTTTATCAATGACATTATAATATGAAATCATATACATAAATTTTCTTTATTAAAATAGAGAAAATCCCTTTAATATGAGTAAAAAAATTGAGATTCCAAAATATGTTTGCCTTGTTTTTATTCCCTAAATAAGAGTAATTTTTGTCATGTTTCGCATTGTCAAAGTTTAAACATGATAGTTTTTGCCAAGTTTGTTTCAGAATTCAAACTTCGTAGAAATCATATTCAGATGGTTTAAGATGGTTTTTTCAATTGGAGCATAAATAGGTATTACTCACACTTTGATTTAAAATGAAATTACTTCTGTTTTGAAGTTGTTGATTTTCACATTTATTGTTTTTCTTCATTTTATTGATATTACTCACTTTTAATTTTCTAATTTTAACAATTTATGTTATTAGTAGCAAAAATTTATGAGTATTGTTTCAAAAATATTACTATAATAACAATTATTTATGCATATAGTCATAAATTTATGAGTATTGTTTCAAAAATATTACTATAATAAGAATTATTTACTACTAGTTATTACAATATAGTCAGTAGTCATATTTTTGTAATTACATATATTTGTTTTAGTCATAAATATGTAATTATTTCTAAATTTATTGATTTTCATAATTGTACGAATCCAACTTTACTGTCTTTATACAGAACACGTATAATGATAACCTATTGATGTTCTATATATTCAATAAAAATAATTTTATTAAACCAATAAAATTTTGTGATGAGAAATTCATAAAAAATCATAAGAAATTAGCAATGGAATTAATAAAAAATTAAATAAATCAAAATCTATGGAATTTTAGTCATTCAAAATCTATTAAATAAATAATCAAAAAACATGTATTTAAAGTCATTCATCCTTGAATTAATGTTGTGTTTCTAGTCAATTTATAAATTTAAATATATTTTTGGCATGAACTTTTGGTATGCCGGTATACCGATATATGGTTTATTTTCAAAATATATACTGATATCATATCGAAGTAAATCGGTACACTAACCTTTCGGTACACTAACCTTTTATACCAAAAGCATCATTATATCAAACATTTCAGTAAGTTCGGACAAGTGCTGTATAACGAAATTGGCTTGATTAGAGAGTTTATGTATAACTTACTGAATATCACGTATTCACGTTTATGTCTTAATTATTCTAAAACAAACTATATTCCCATATTGCCTTTGTTATTATTACTTATTACCATGTAATTTCTTTTGGATTGCTTATTCAAACTTTTAATTTGTTGATTTTCATATTTATAGAAGTATATGCATACATACACAAATAAAAGATGGATTTTTCAATTGTAGCGTATTACTCACATTTTGATTAGAATGATATTACCGCTGATTTAAATTTTTTAATTTTCATATTTATTATTATTACCATTTTATTGATATTAGAGCATATCCAATGATTGTTTATAAGGATTTGCTTGCAAATTTGAAGCTACTAGCCTACCATTGCTTGAAGTGCATCTTTTCTTATAGTTTGGGCAAGCAAATTAGCCAAAACAAGCTACTTGCTAGAAATGAGAGAAATTTAAATGAAAATGGTAATTACTGAATTTTAATTTACATTTTTTAATTTAATTTATTTATTTTTTTAATGTTTTTGGTTTGTTGATTTTAAAAAATGTTTAATTTTCTCATAAAATATTTAAAATTGATATTTTGTGGCGTGTATGTGTTGTTGAAATTTCTTATTCCTTATTTTTTTTACATAATAAATACAAATTTTTGTACTAATTTTAAAAACATGCATTTCGTAATAATAATAACACTGATAATTTATGGGTTTAAATATATCATTTACATTTTCCCCATTTGAAAATATTTTAAAATTAGTATTATTTCTATTATATTAATAAATCAATTCATTCAAAATGTATATTTTCAAAACTGGTGATTGATTTGAGGGGCCTATTCAAAAGACAAGCATTGTGGCTAATATTGGACTATCACATTGATAGAAAATATATTAGCTAGAAAAAGCTGATGTGGCAAACAAAGTTACAATGAGTTTAGCTAGTCATTGTAAATGCTCTTACTAACATTTGCTATGTATCTTAACTTTTAAATGAATCAAATCAGTACCATAACTCTGCATAAATGTTTGTTCTTGTTATATTATTCAAATTTGCAGCTAAAAAATCTTAAATAATGGCTATCAAAATTCCGTGTGTAGAGGCACCCTACAACGATGACATTAACAAAAGTAAGATACGGAGTATATGATAGGGACTTTATGCATAGAATTTCAGCTGTCACATATGATTTTTTTTTAGGAAATTTGAATTATATGGCTAGTTGAAATATTTATTGTAACGGGGTTGTGTACAGGTGCTTTTTTTTTGCTTATTTTCTTTTTTTTTCCCGTTTCTTTCTTGTTTGCTTCTTGTTGCTTCCCTCTTATTCTTTTATTGTACTTTCTTTTGATTATAATAAAATTCTTTCTTTCCAAAAAAAGTTATGATGTTGAACGAAAACGGCTATGCGATAATGACAGTCTCTGCTTCCTCTGCCGCTCCCTTGCTTTCCAGAGCATCCGCCACCATGAGGTAGAAATGTGAGAATGTTGTGAGTCTTACCAAAATGGTAGTCTCAGGTGTCATATACTCTGTCCGTCCCGTTAAGATTGTCGCATTTTACCTTTTCAGGAAGTCCCATTAAGATTGTCTCATACCAAATTTGGTAAAGTTTGTGTGGCTTTAAATAATTCTCACTTTATTTTTACTTTTTCAATTCAATATCAACTATATAAACTCACTTTTCTTAATAATCGTGTCACCTTCTTCCGTCCCAATGTTAGTGGGACGGATGTAGTATATACTCCCTCCGTCTCTATTATATCTTTCAAATGGGTTTGACACAGAGTTTAAGATAGTGGGTATTGTGTGGTGGAGAGTTGTGCAGAGGAGAGAGAAATGTGTAAGAATTGCTGTGAACCACAAATTCTGGCCAAAAGGAGAAAGTGGAAGTTTTAATTGGGACGGACAAAAAAGGAAAGTTGGAAGTTTATTTAGGGACGGAGGGAGTAATAAAGATATGTCCTGAATACAATAGGGAACATACAAAATATGGAAAGCCTAATGAATGTAATTAATACATTATTACAGCCTCTCAATCTGTCAGGAGAAACAATGCGCAAATTGTCTCGAAGAAAAATAAATCGCTCTAAATAATTCTTACTTTATTTTTACTTTTTCAATTCAATATCAACCACATAAACTCACTTTTCTTAATAATCGTGTCACCTTCTTCTGTCCCAATGTTAGTGGGACGGAGGTAGTATATAATAAAGATATGTCCTGAATACAATAGGGAACATACAAAATATGAAAAGCCTAATGAATGTAATTAATACATTATTACAGCCCCTGAATATGTCCAGGGGAAACAATCCGCAAATTGTCTCGAAGAAAAATAAATCGCTTAGGAGACAAGCACTTGGTGAAGATATCAGCAAGTTGGAACTGCGTTGGAACGTAGCAAACAATCAAATCTCCATGTGAGATGCTCTCTCGGACAAAGTGATAACCTATGCTGATGTGTTTTCTACATGCTTGTTGAGTTTGATTAATAGACAAGTAAGAGGCTGAAACATTATCACAAAGCAACTGAACAGGTGTGCGAATACAAACTCCTAGTTCAAACAGAATAAATCTGATGTGAAGAGTATCATGTACTGTGTAAGCAATAGCCCTATTCTCAGCTTCAGTGGAGGATCTAGAGACGGTGGGCGACTTCTTGGATTTTCAAGAAACCAAGTTAATTAGGACCC